TTAACTGCAGGGGGGAGGCAGCTTAGCCTAGTCTCCGACCATTAACTTCTAGGGAATGGGGGGGCGACAGCTTAGCCCAGACTCACCCATTAACTTCTAGGAGATTAGGCCTCATCCACAATGCCGTGCGTATTGTACCATATGCAAATAAATGGCTCTACACACACAGCCGCGTATGGAGCCGTATATTTGCGTAGCGTATATATATGCGCAAAAACAGAATGGAACAGAGGCGCGTCCGGGCAGCGTATTTCTGCTTATTTACGCGCATACAGCACATTAAAAATTCCATTACGAGTGATGCATTCTGGGATTGCATATAGTGCACACATATACCCATATAAGCTCGTATATACGCGCATAGATGCTCGTTTATACGCAATATACAATTTTGCTTGCGTTGTGTGTGAATGAGGCCTTATTCTCACTATATGAAGACATGAAGCAAGCCGTGCCTGTAAAAGAAGTCAGGACATACTCACCTTTCCAGATGCCCGCAACTCCAATCTCCACACCTGGGGAACCTTCATGTGAAGTTGTCTTTGAAGCTGACACATTTCGAGCGCGTCGATCTTCTGGGCCATCCATGCCAATTTGACCGCCGCCCATTACAGGAAACGGTAGTGATGTGAAAGCCAGAGGAATGAAACGGAGATGCTCTGGGGGACCCATGAGATAGACACCCCCGGAAGCGCCAGGTGAACCCGGGCCCCCCACATTCCATGCACACACTCTCTAAAGGGCGAACACATACTGACGCTCGCTTACTTCTCGATCTATCCCTGCAGAGAGCCGTGACCGTCACTCACGGCTCCCTGCAGGGATTCCCCCCTCCCCGCTCCGATCCTCCAGCGCTGACTGGAGGAACGGGCGGGGGAGGGGGCGGGTACAGCTGGCTCTGCCTCTAGATAGGCAGAGCCAACTGTCACTCACGCAGCTGGGCAGATCGACAGTAATGTCGGGATCCGTCCCGGCTGCGGCGGTCTCGGTAAACCGCGAACTGTAGCTCCCTATTTACTGAGCTTTGTGTGACGGGAGGACGCTAGTTTATGCCCTCCCGTGACCCCTAGGAGAACTATGGGGAAAACACTGACCCCATAGTTCTCCTTGAAATAGGGAAGGTAAATACAAATATATTGTAGGAGTCCTGAAGAAACTTTGCATCAGTCATTCAGTAACATGTACCCAGGAAACGTATCCATATCCTTCCATAGTAGGAATTCTGCTATAAGAAATGCAGAGCAAACATTCATCAATCCGGGCTGGCCTGTGAGAGTTCCTTTAAGGGCCGGGTCACACCACTTCCAGTGTGTTCCAGCGCGATTACCTGAAATAGCAAAAAATAGTGCTTGTAATGGACCCGAATGCAGGCATCGTTCTGCCACACGTTCTGGAGCGGGCGCTCGCACTGCGGGCAGAGGGGGGTGGCTGTGGTGCTATGGACCTGAATGCACCGCCACATCCTCCCGCCCTAGAACGCAGGGAGGATTTTCTAATGCGATCCAGTGCGTTCCAGCAGCCAAGCATGCTGGAATGCACTGGAAGTGGTGTGAACCAGATCTTAATCTGAATTCTAGGCAACAAAAAACCCTTTCATTTAAATGAAAGAGACAAGACCAGTCACTCTGCACAAGGAGAGAGAGCAGCAGTGAGCTGTCTTCATTACAGGAGGGGGTGGAGACAAGACCAGTCACCCTACACAAGAGGGAGGAGGGGGTGCATTGGAGGGGGGGGTGGTGCATCACCCCAAGTGCAGGTCCGTCTTCCCTGGCTTGAACGCAGACAGGATCCATCCAGTCAGCGTACGAGTACTCACACGCATGGACGTGCAGGGCGGGTGAGCGTACGGCCGCTTATTCCCATAGAGGACGGGAGCTGTGTACTAATCACACGCAGCACCTGTCCTTCCTGGGAGCTGTACGCGCCAGCCGATTCCCGTGTGAATGGGGCCTAAATCAGGCGCTGGGTATCAGACCCCACTATTACCTTCCCATGGGGGGTGGGTGATTTCCCCCCCCCCCCTGATCACTGCCTTTAGAGGACAAATGTATCTGGCTCTAGCTATACTTTTACACAGCATTGCCATCACTAGATGGAGCCAAGGAGCGCAGGAACTTCCTATTCTCAGTGCCAGTAGGTGGAGCCAATGAGCGCAGGAACTTCCTATTCTCCCAGTGCCAGTAGGTGAAGCCAAGGAACTTCCTATTCTCCTCAGTGCCAGTAGGTGGAGCCAGGGAGCACAGGAACTTCCTATTCTCAGCACCCCCTAGTGGCGTGCTAGTAGCATGCAAACGGCATTCCCCCAGCAATACACTGGGCAGAAGATTTATAAATCAGCCCCCAACTATTCCCATCCACCCCGAGGAACATTTAACTGTCAAAAAACAAAATCATACCAAACAC